TAGATCCCATGGAAGATAAGATTAGAGAGAGTCACCTTAGATGGTTGGGTCACATAAAACATCAGCCTTCTGATGACCTGGTTAGGAAAGTAAATGTATTAGATTTGACTTATGTTAAAAAATGAGGAGGTAGACCTAAAAAGACTTGGTTAGATAATATTAGAAATGACCTTTATTTATTAGATTTAAATGAGAATTTAACTTTTAATATGGCAGAATGGAAAAAAATGATTCATGTAGCCAACCCCACATAGTGGGATAAAGACTTGATGTTGTTGTTATTGTTGTTGCTGATAAGAAAATATATTTTTTTAAAATTTTAAACTTGAAAATTAAGCTCAACAATTGAGTTAAGCTTGAGCTTTCTAAATGAGCTCGAGCAATCGAGTCGAACGAGAGCCTATGAATTTTTTAATGAGTCGAGCTCGAGTTTGAGCTCAGTAACAGTTAAACCAGCTTAACTCGACAAGATAGATATTGGACTTAACTCGACTCGTTTACACCCCTAGATAAGGGTATGTCTCCTTGGCATGCTACTATGGTAAGAGAACCATCAACAGTGATGATTTTCTTATCACTTGCGTAAGGTGTATAGTTGATGAAGTGGATAGTGGAGTGTCTTATGATCTGTGGCTCCTAAGTTCATGATCCATAATCCTTTTAATTATTTCTAGATGCACTTAATCCAATGGATATAAAAAATTTATTGGAAAGTGTAGAAGATGTAGGTGGTTTTTAAGGGATATCAAGAGTTATATTAGTTTATTAATATCTTCTTTATTAAGCTCTCTGAAGCTAGACTGCATTTCTGGATTAGACTGACTATAGTGCTGGCTTGTAAAGTGCCCTTTTGTCCACTTATTTGATTCCACTCCTTGAGAACTTTCCATGTATCTTCCAGTATGTCTATTTTATGTGTCGTGATTTCTTATAATAATTGCACCAAAGGGAGTCTTTGTCTTTAGGTTTTGAGGAATCCTTACATTTTTTTCTTCCATGATGCTTCTTTGGTTAACACCATTACTGAATGTTCAACTACCTTTGGCTCCAGCATTACCCCTCGTCTATTTTTCTCAGCACGAATGAAAGAAATGGTCTCATTTCATGAAGATGTTTTCTTTTTTCCAAGGATCTAAACTATAACCTGATCAAACTCAACATTTAATCCTACAAGAAAGTCATACACTCTCTCTTTCAAAATAAAGTATTTCGGGATAGCAGCATCTTCTAGACACTTGGTCTCTATGCATCTGTAGTGATCAAGTTCTTGACACAAGTTTTGAAGGAGAATGGCATATTTCATTATAATTTTGCTTATTTTGTGTTTCCCATCTTGACCTTAATTTGAAGGATATAAGCAGCATCTCGAGCCTTTGAGAAGGTTTGTCTAGCGACATCCCATATGTCCTTTACAGAGATAGGAACATAAAAGTATTACTAATTTCTAGAGTCATGGAATTCTACAGCCATGACATAATCATCGAGTCCACTTCATCCCATGCCCAAAAATTTAGGATCTTTTGATCCTACCCAAAAGAGGTGATTCAACTTTCCTTTCTCTTTTAAGTAGGTCTTCACAAATTGAGACCACTTTAAGTAATTCATCTCATTTAGGCAATAGGAAGGTTGCATATTTTGGAAATCTCCTTTTCCTTGGTGCACCATAGAGTCCACCATTTGGTCAAAGCTCCGGAAGGAATTTACTTCAAACATTGTGACGGCAAAAGTAGCGATGAAAGCTATATTAAGAAAGGCAGCAAAGAAGGTTGTGTTGGTTATAGATAGAATAACAACAAGGGAAGATCGGCAATGAAGGCACGATAGTAGAAAAAAAAAACAAAATTCTGGCAATCGCAATGAAGGCTTTAGTATCATGTTAAATTCAAAGAATTGAAGAGGGAAAAGGCTTAATTATATTGCTCAAATTTATCCCAATTTATTGATCTATACAAAATATCTTAATAAAGAAACAAATAATTACAGAATCATACATAATTGCTCTAGTATAATCCTTCCTAAATCAGTTATACATAAATATGGAAGGAGATCGGCTCAATCCATGTGAGCCTCCCATGGATTTCCATCCTAGACGTGGGAATTAAAATTCCAAGGGATGGCGGAGGTTGGCACAATCCAAGTTTGCCTCCCATTGATCCCTAACCTAGCCGTGGGATCAATATGCCAAGGGACGGCTAGGATTTAACATATTATATATATATATATATATATATATGAATCTCCTCTTCCAATTTTAGATTAATCTATTTTCATGGGCTATGATAATATTTTGAAGATATTGTATTAATATAACATTATTGAAGATATTACTTATTGACTTTGTGAGAAATTGTGAGATTTTTTTTCATTGACTTTCAAAGATCTTATAATATCATATGAGATCTTTCAATAAAATTCTATGTATCTAAATGCATTCCTTGCTGCCATTATATGTAGAACCTCAGAAGAAAACAAATTTACATTTGAAAACAACAAGCAAATAAAAAAAAAGGAGAGGCATGGGAGAGGGGTTACCAACTGAGGGATCAAAGGGATGAGATTTTTTTGGTTCCTATAGAAAAGGGAAATTCTGGTTCCTTAAAAAGAAAAAAAATATTGTTAGTTTAAACTCACAAAATAGAGAAGTTGAACTTCAAGTTCTGGAAGATTTAAATAGAGGATTATTTATTCAAGCTCCACTGACTACTAAGGGGAGCAAAGCTACAGTCTGTTGATCAGGAGAGGGATTTAATGGGCAGAAAAGCTTTAGGGGTCATTCTCTTATGTCTTAGCAAGAGCCTCACTTTCAACATCCACAACGATACCACCACAGTAGGCATCATGATCATGCTTTTTGATATGCATTAACGCTCTCCGATAAGCAGTAAAAACCATTCACAATCAACAATGTCAATGCACATATAATGCTTAAGTTTTACAATATCAATTCAGAAGAAGCTTACATCACCAATTTCATCAATGAATTCAACAACCTAATAAAAAATTGTTAAACTTTGTGAATATCATGTATGAAGACAAAGACCATGGCTTAAATTTGCGCTCATCATTGCCTTAAAACTGGGATGACATTGTACAACCATTAATTCCAATGCACCATTCTCTAATATCTCATCTGAATGGGGATATAAGATAGCACAAAAAAGGCGAGAGTAAATCAATTTCTATTTTAAATAATGACAACAAGAATATATATTTTAACAAAGACAATAACAAAATCTCACAACAAAAACCACCAGTAAGATCACAATGGAAGTCTCAAAATCGCCTGAGTGGATGTCGGTGTTATGGAAAGCATAACCATATGATAAAAGAATGTATAAAGAAGAAGCATCAATAAAATTAAAAGCCAAAAGAAAAGACCAAGGAAAGTCACTGCAAAAGATATCTAGGATGCACTGATATTTATTATCGATAGAACAATCAATGAAAATAAGGATATTAGACTCAAATGCATCTTTTTTATTATTCTTCAAACATAACTAATGATAAACTAATGCACATGCAATTATGATAAAATATTTTTTGTTGATGATGAATGAATCATTTACGGGCTCATCATCAACAAAAAATATTTTATCATATGTAGAATTTGATCCTTGTTATTAGATTTAAATGAGAATTTGACTCTCAATATGACACAATGGAGAAAAAGGATTCATATAGCCGAACCCACTTAGTGGGATAAAGGCTTGATGTTGTTGTTGATGATAAGCCCATAAATGTTGTGGGCATTGAAGATGTGATAATGAAGATAACAAACAAAAAGTTAGGCACATCATTGATTTGAGGAGAAACTTGATCTTTATCTGGTAATTAATTGCAAGAGGAAGTCATGTCAGCTTCAATATTAATATTTAAAAACTGATGAAAATTTTCCTGATGATTGCTTGATGAAATAAGTCAAGCACTCTCTTTTTACAAACACCAATATAAGAATAATTGGATTGCCACAAATGCATAGAGAAATTTAAATCTATTGCATAAAAATTTATGCTATATAAGCAAGAAAGGCCTAAAGGTTCTCCATGCAAAGATAAAAATTTAACTTTAAAGTCTATTAAATCCAGCTTGTTTGAAGATTGCATTTTAGGCAAATGAAGGTGAGTCAATCTCTTCAAGGCTGGGTAGAATTTAATAACAGAAAAGTAACAACTTAGTCCAATGGTGTAATGTAATTATACTAATATTCTCTTGTACACATGTAATCATATGATTAGCTTGTATTTTCTATAAATATTGTGTTGTAGTGAGATACCAAGGAATGCAATACAAGATTTCTCCATATATAAAAGAGAAATTATTTTTTATCATTTTTCAGAAGCTTAGTAAAATATTTGATCTTTTTGCAAACGTGAACTTAGTGATCTCACTGAACAATGTAAGTTTGTATGGCTTGTATTTGTGAGCTCTAGTTTGTTTATTATCACATTTTCATCTAATGTTTGCTTGATATTGTATTAATATCTTAACACTTTCTGACACAATGACTCGTCAAACATGTTGATCGGAAAATGTCCGTAAAAACCCATTTTTTAACATTCGCGGATATTATTTTAGGCCGATTGAAGCACAAATCTTTTCTTTTCAGATGAGTTTGTGATTCCCAATTTATTCGAACAAAACCATCTTCTTCCACAAAAAGAAGGAAACATACACCCACTAATAAGAATCTCATAAAGATCCTCTAGAAAGATGTAAACAAAAAAGTATGACAGCGACCAAGCAAAAGCCGTAGATTACATAATGGAGTCCAGCAGGTATTACACCAAAAGCTGACGAAAATTATGATCAAGGCTGCATGTTACTACGATTCTAACAGCATCGGATTAAATAAACAAATCTCCAAATTAAATCAAATAAGAAAAAAAAACAAATTAAAAGTTCGTCCGATCTTATAAGCATTCAATTGAAAACCAAAACGCCAAATCAATTCAATTAATAACAGCAACTCCGAGGGGAGAAATGAAGCGAGGGAAGCGTACGAGGTTGCCGGCTCCGACTGTGCAGAATCCATTGACGATGTCAACGAGAACGAGGCCAACGACCCTCCCACGATCCCTCTCCGATGCAGGAAGGAAATCGTCCTCCTCATCGACAGGTGCATCCGCTCTCACGGCGTCCATCATCTTCGCATTCGATCCCATAGCTTTCTCGTTCTCTCTTGGTCGGTCTCTCAAAAATTTCTGCGACACTTTCCTTTCTAGGGAAACAAAGGCCCCCCCTACTGTCGCTTAATACGTATCAAGGGCAACTCCAATGGCTTCCTTCGCTCCAACCGAGCGCCAATGCTTACGGCATTTGATCGGATGAACAGTGGCCTCGCGCTGTTCATCCGTCATTTTTTTTTTTAAATTCGAAAAAATAATTATAAATATCTTATTTTTTATTACTAATTAAAATAATAAATTAGAAATATCTTATTTTTTTAGAAATCTAAATATTTTTTACATAATTAATTAATTTAAGTTACAACATTATGATAAAAATCAACATAAAATTCTCATTAATAAAAGATATCAAGAAGTACAATACCAAAAAAAAATCAAAATACAGAATTTAAACATCATCAAAAAATAATCTTGATAGGCACGAATCTCGATGCAAAATCAAGTTGGAAACTTCCAAAATTAAAATTGGGACCATCTGAACTCCTATTTCAGTAAACTTACATTCAAACAGAACGTCTCGAAAATACGAACCCAACAACACCAAATTTGACTCAATCCGAGCCCAAATGAGTCCATATCAAGGACCCGAAGCAATGTTAGAAGGTTTGAACCACAATTTGGATTATCAAACGGTTTCCAAACATATTGTGCTTATAGCTGGATCGAGCGGCTCAATGAGACGAATCTAACAAGCCCAAGATCGCGGAATTATTACATCATTAAGACCTTCAAATGTCTGACGAACGGTCCACGATCAAGGGATTCAATATCGACCGTTCATCCAACCACTCCACATTTACCATTGATCTCTCACCTAGGGCCATGCCACTACAAAAATCTATAAATAAACCCCTCATTTCTCTTAAAGGGGGGGATCCAAGCAAGAAGAGAATGAAAAGAAAAAAGAAGCTCCTCCTCAACCACCACTGGACTTCCGTCGGACCACCGCCTAACATCGTTGCATTATCGGACCACCACTGGAGGCCCTCACCTCCGCCGGACCAATGCCTGACGTTGCTGCTCAGCTGGACCACCACTTGTGGCCCTCACCTTCGTCGAACCACTGTCTAGCATCGTTGTTCTAATGGACAACCACTTGAGGCCCTCACCTCCGTCGGGCTAAAGGTTGACGTCGTTGCTCTGCCGAACCAACGCTTGAAGCCCTCACCTCTGTCGAACCACCGCCTGACGTTGTTGCTCCGCCTGACCGACACTTGAGGCCCTCACTTCCGTCGGACCACCGCCAAACATTGTAGCTCCATCGGACCACCTCTTGACGCTCTCACCTCCGCCGGACCACCGCCTGATATCGTTGCTCTGCTAGACCACCATTTGAGGCCCGAACCACTGCCATGAAAGTTTGTTAGGGATGTTAAGCCCAATGAACTTGTCCCGAGGCTAACCAAGAGGGGGGTGAATTGGTATTTTAAAATTCTTTAAAAACAAAAGAACGATTTTCACAAACCAAAATCACCACAGAAAAAAAATGCAGAAAATTAAAGTGCAGAAGCAGTAAAAAAAATAAGGGTTTATAGTGGTTCGGTCAACTTGACTTACGTCCACTACCTGGAGGCGCCCTCCGAGTATTGCACTACCAACGTGACTCCTTTATCCCCCACAGCTAGGCGGAGAAGCCCTCACAAAAACACCTCCTTTTTGCCACACCCGGCAAGGCAAAGAACCCAACTCCTTTTACTTCCTCTTGAACCAAGCAGAGAACTACGATCACTTGATGAAACTTACCTCTCCCAACCCTTTCAAGGACTAGAGACTCTAGGGATGAAGAAGTGGACCAATGCTTGGAGCAACCCTTATGAACTCCCTCACAAGCTCCCCCTCACAAGATCCTCTCTCTCTCTCTCCCTCTCTCTCTCTCTCCTTTAGGTTTTCTCAGGTCAAGATAGCAGCCAAGGATATTCAAAAATATTAAACAAGAGCTCTTAAATAGAAGAACTTCAAAGGGGCTCATCAATTGCAAGTTGTCGACTTTATCGTCCAGGATGATATGGAAATTGTCCTGGCCGATCAGTACAAATCTCATAAGATCGGCCAAAGCATCGCCCTAAATGCAAACTGGACGATTAAAAATTTGCTTGATCATCCCGGACGATATCACGATCATCCTAGCCGATCAGTTCAAATCAAAGGAAAATCGTTCAGAGCATCGCCCTGAATTTGATCTGGCCGATATTTATCGTCCAGAAGCAACTAAGGATTTTTGAATAGATCGTCTTGGCCAATCCTGCGATCGTCTAGGACGATGTGATCATATCAATCATCCTTAATTACTTCCTTGATTCCTAGATCAATTTAGGCATAATTATGTGATATCGTCCAGGCCGATCTCATGATCGTCCTGGCTAATTTCCAAAAATACAGAATACCTAAATTGATCATGGCGGCAAATTCTTTCTGTATTGAGCATATCGTCCTGGCCGATACAGGTATCGTCCAGGCCGATCGGTTAATTACGGCTGCCTTAACTAAGAAATCTTGATTAGATCTTCTATTTTGAACTCGATCATCCAGGACGATATAAAATATCGTCCGGGACGATGTGAGTAAAAACACAAGTTCTAAATCTCTCAAGTGTGTATGTGTAAGGTTATTTAACATCAGTCACTTCAAGCAATTACAATTGACTCAAAAAAGAAAAAAATTACATACTGACTCAATCATAATCTACCCAGTCTTGAGCTGATTCTGATTTCCGTCCAATCTTTGAGTCCTGAAAAGTCAGTAGAAAAAAGGCAGTCGTAGTGAAATAAGATTTGTTTTATATCATCAAAATCATAATCCAAAAAACATGTTTGTAACAATCTCCCCCATTTTGATGATGACAAACATATCGATAATCAATTCTAAAACAGTAATGCAAAACTAAACAAGCTTTCAAATTTTCGAACATAACAAGTACAAACATACTACAAGAGCAAGTACAAACATACTACTCCCCATTTTGACATCTCAAAAATGAGGAGGAAACTAAAACACAAACTAAAGCAACTAAAAATACAATACATAAAAAGAAAGCAATCCACATAAAATAGAAACTAAAACTACATAAATGAGGGATCCTGATCATCAGATGGAGGTGGAGGCGGTGGAGCTTGCTGAAAGTAGCTAGCTAGCGTAGTAAACTGAGCGTTGAACCAGGTTATGTCCTGGTCATGCTGCTGCTACTGGTGAGTAATGTAGCTGCAAAATGAGCTAAGTCCTCTGTGTGGTGCTGCTCGTAGCGGGCAATATCCTCAGAAAGTTTTTACTCCTGTGCAACAATGTAAGCGGCGAAACGGGTCTCCCAATGATCAAATCTCTCCACTATCTGGTCAAATTGTGAGTGCTAGCAAAGAGGAGCAGGATCAGGAATGGTAGCGGGAGCCTCCTTCTCCTCGGCCCCCTGAGGTTCCCCATCCCCTGGGAGAAGACGAGTATTGTGAAGGATATTGAAAGAGCTGTTTGAGTAACAAGGAGGCTGAAGGTCGTGACGAGCAGGATATTGAAGATTGTATTTTGTTTGAAGAATATAGGCTATGAGATGTCCTAACGCAAGGTTGGGTTTTCTCCTATGTTCTGGATCGCGAATAGTTATTAAATGATCAATGTATCAAAAAATCAAGTTAGTAGCATTAAACTCTCTCCAGGCCATGATGAAAAAGGTAGTCAGAGAAAGCAAAGGAGTGATGTGGACTCGGTCCTCGGCTTTTGGAATAATAGATGTGCGAAGGACATGCTGAATTGTCCTAGCATCTTTGACTAAAGAGCTAGTCTCTTCAACATGAAAGGGTGTGTTGGTCTGGAGAAAAAAATGATTTGTCGTGAACCAGTCAAAATCAGGATCTGAGATAATTATATGCAGCTTATCCCCAGTAGTGGATAGCTGCAATAGTTCAACACAATCCTGATATGTGATCTCGATCGGACGTCGATTCATATAGGAGGTCAGGGCTGTGAAAGTAGAATTTATATGAAGATTTACATAAAATTTTAACATAAGTTCTAAGGAAAAAGGGACAGCGAGGGTAAGAATGAAACAGAGAGAAGTGTGAGTAAAGAGATCTATTACCGAATATGAAAGGTGGACAAGATTGATGGTTTTGAAAAGGGTGATGACACATTCTTTGTAACGACGGTAAGCTGCTTGATCCTTCACTTCCCTGAATCGAGGGTCCAGAGTGACCCTTGAGGAACTTCCAGAAGCCTGTCAGACTCGCTTCCCACCAGCCATAGCAAGAAATCAGTAAATAAAAATGAGATAAGAAGAAGCTTTGAGGTGAAAACAATGGCTGGAATGGCCTGTATTTAAAGAAAAGGCCATATCGTTCAGGCCGATCGCAGTATCGTCTAGGACGATTTGGTTCAATTATTGCGTACAGGCCAATTGGTCAAAAAGGCAGTCCGATCGGCCGGGCCGATCAGATATCGGCCAGGACGATTAGACACAGGCGATTGTCCCTAGGAGTCAAGCCGGACGACCGTTAAAAAAGCAGATCGTCCGGGCCGATTAGGTGTATCGTCCAGAACGATGCATAATAATTGATCGTACCGGCCGAAGTTAAAACATTTTAAATCTGTGCCACGTGTATCGTCTAGGACGAACAGTGGATCGGCCAGGACGATTTTCCAATAATGGATCGTCCGAGGCCGGTTTTAAGGAATTAAATGTACTAACACGTGGATCATCCGGGACGATTTAGTGTATCGGCCAGGACGATGACCATAAATGCATCGTCCAGGACAAAAATTATATCGGCCAAGACAATCAAGATGATTGTAACAGAGTTTGATCGGATCGTCCAAAACGATAATGTATCGTCCAGGACGATGAGTTACATAAGGCTCAGAAAAGTTCAGCATATGGAATTTTGAAGTGAAATTATCATATCGTCCAGGACGACAGAGGTATCGGCCAGGACGATGTGACAAAAATTTGAAAATCAAGGAAAGATGGATATGATCAGAGAAAACCCTAAACAAAAATAAATACAACAAAAAAGAGAAAAAAAAATGAAGATTTTGGTTTTTAATTTTTCTATTTTTTTTGTTTTTAGCAAAGCAAGCATATAACAAATTTCTCAAATAATTAAATTTTTAAAGATTTGAAAGATCAGTGAGTTAACAATGTCACATAAAATAGTATACCAAAGTAATTTGTCTCTG